GGGATGCCACCCCTTCAGCTGGACAGCAGCCACATTATGAAAGGAAACAGACAAGATGCAGCCTAGTTTGTAAGTGTCCTCACTTTTACAGTGAGGAAATCACTGCTTTTGAAGCCAGTTAAGATCACCTGCTGATCGAACAGAGATGTTGAAAGACTAAGAATTTCTTGAATTAAAAGTGGGGCTGTAAGTTGTACTAACACCGACATTTTTAACAGCTTTTTGGCAACCCAGTGGGGCCAAATTTCAAGAATACTGCAAAGACAAGGAGCACTGTTGGAAATCAAAACTGGAACTATCATATCACCAAGTAGTTTTGTCTGCCTTGCGTCTCTACACTTGGGAGTTCTCAACAATTGCAGAGTGCACGAAAGACCCCAATAGATACTGCTATTGAAAATTATTGCAATCTGAAGAACTATCCCCTCCCCACTTGCTACCTGCTCCCAGCAATGTGCTGCAGCTTGTCCTAAGGTATGCATTTCTGAGCAAGGCAATGCAGATGGAAAATGGAATAAAAGAAGCTGCTCTCCCACAAGTAATATTTCCAGAAAAAGGCCACACACAAATCTGCATCAGTGGAAAAAGCAGCAAAAAAGAATGAGAAACCCTTTCTCAGAATAAGCAGAAGCATTGAATGAATCCTCACCAAAAAAAAAAAAGCTGGAACAAACTCTCTGCCCAGAGCAGGTCAAAACTTTGAGGACGGAAAGAGGGGAAACAGGGTAAAAGAAATAACTTTCTGGTAACAAAGACAGCCACAAACCATTGTCTGCAAGAACCAAATCTAAACTCAAATTAGCCAAGTTTTATCCAGTGATATTGTTCTCATATTTGTTTAGGAGTTTGTTTCATACAGTACTCCGCTATATTCAGCTACTCTAAGTAGTAATACTGAATCATTCATTTTGTAATGGTACAGAGGGGATTTTGGGGCCGGGATTTTCTTACTGTTTTGTGTAGATTTGTTGTATTTCTTCTTTATTTTTAATTTGAGCGTAGCTCTTCAGCTTAGTCTGTCTAGCACAACACTGAAGGCTCCTAAAGCCTAAATGGATTCTGCCTTCTGCATTCAGCTTATTCCTGGTAAAATCAGTAGCCACAGAAATAAGAAAAATCCCAAAGCAAACCATCCAACAAAAAAACCTCACCACCAAATAATAAGACTCTTTGAAAACTTACTTTCTCCTTCAATTGATTCACTTCAGCTACTGTTACTGCATGTTTTAATTGCAGCTGAAATAAATGAAAGAAATTGTATGAGTACAAAAAATTACATTTGAAATGCTAGTTTTAAGAATTTCTCCGTGATTCCCTTTTTTTGCAAACCACTTTTATAGTGGCATCAAGTCAATTATTTGTCAATTATAGAAGTAATCATGAGCTTTTATTAAAAAACAAACAAACAACCAAAACTAGCTCAAATTAAACCCCCAAAAAGTTCCACGGTAATCAATACATAACCTCCAATCGTTAAAAATCCCACATTGTTGTCTATATATTGAGAAAACTGAGGAGATTAAAATAACGTTTCAATGTGCCAGGAAAATGACAAGGTAGCAATGCACTTATGATGACAACTGGTACACAGAGTCAAGTAAAAATTTAACAGTACTAAATATTTTTACATTCAGCACTTATGAATAAATGTGCTGGTTTTGTTTTAAAATTAAACCATGTATTTTTACACCACAAATCTTTATAGGATTATTAGAAATGGAAAAGCTACATGTAAGCCAAATGTAAAGATTTTTTTAACAAGTATTAATTATTTCTTGTATCTCACTTTCCATCTGTAACCCTGTGGGGTTTTTTTTTGGCAAGGCACGGTGTACCAAACACAATTAAAACTAGGGAATCCATGACTATTCTTCATTTAGATTATGTTAGTAACAGCACAGTAATGATTCTAGATGAGAATATAATTGCATCCCAAATAAATATAGCACTTAGCAAAAGACACTGCAGCCTACAATTATGCTTCTTAACCTAGAAAAATCGTAAATGTTCTCTAGAGATCAACAGCCTGCAATTTCTACTTCCTCAATGACATCATCAACATTATCAAGAGAACAAACTTAAAGAGATCTGCAAAACACCAATCCTTCACAAAAATAAGCTGATGTAGCACCAAATGGCATTTGACAAAACTGTTTCTCTGCAGTATATTTTTCTCCTCCCAGAGTGAAAATGACAGGCACTTAATTCTACCAAAGAAGCCTGGACCCCTAAATGCCAAACAACTGTACCACTTAAATCCCTGACTAAATCCCACAGCCCTGAATAAAGCAAATATGCTCCTTCATAAAAACCTTGGGAAAGGGGAACTATACTATCTCCAATTATATTAAGTTGCAATTCACAGTCTGGAATGCCCTGTTGGGTTTGCAAATCCATTACTTCTAAAAAATACACCATAAAAACACCCTCCAAGCCAAAAACGTGCCTACCTACAGAATCAAGTGCTTTTATGTACGCAGAGATTTCCTGGAAGACTGCAGGGACTAAAATGAGAGACAAGATATGCATATCTTGTCTTCCTGAAGGACATCTCACAACAACACTTGAGACCATTCAGAATGGGCATACTTGCCCCCCACACTCTCCTCTGCAGCTAAAGCCATTCTGCTGTGCAGCAAATACATGCAAGGCCAATGGGCCAAAGAAGAACTAAGAGAAGCATCCTATCTATCTCATGCAATGTTCAGACATAACAAGCACAGAGCGGTGCTGGATTCTAATGTCTGTTTCTTTTTTTAATTTAATTTAAATCAACAGATCACTTAATGTACATATGTATAGGGAAACTGGGATAAAAAAAATAACAGAAGATCTACATTTCAATGGACAAAACAGAAAGATTTGCTGGTGATGTTGAGGAAAAACAAACCCAAAACCATGAGAGGGACATGAAGAATATCCTAGTCCTACAAGGTTCAGATGCTCCCCAGTGCAAAGAATATTCAAGAAACTGCTACACCACCTCTTTAAATTTAAGAAGAGACTCTGCTGAATCCATATCCAGTAGTAAACCAATGTCTTCGTTTTCAGGAAGATCAAAAACTTCTACAGATTTCCCATGTAAATGTGACTCATATGTATCCTCCTCATCATCATCATAGTCATCATCCTGACAAAATCAAAAAATGACATTCTGTAACGCACACACACATTTGCATTATGGCAGCAACAACCAAAGCACACAATCCAGGAATCCAAACAGCTGCAAAACTTTTCTTGACTAATTACTATTCCTTTTTATTTTCTTGCACCTCTGATAATGTTAAAGATGAATTGCAAACACCTTCATTAAAGTTCCACAAAAGAGAGCAAAGTAAAACATGCACAAAACAATTACACACAGCTGATAGTTAAAAATATATTTTGGATTATTGATAAAGTCAAAATCATGTGCCTGAAGAACAGTAATATATTAATTTTGTATTTTCCTGTTTTTAACAAGTTGTCTGTTTTATCCTTTTCTGCTGCAGTTTCATTTAAAAAAAACACATTTATTCCATTAGCAGAAGTTCTTGTGCGTAGTGGAAATCATGTATTTTTAAAAACATGTAAGTCTGTAGGATGTTTTACCTGCTCTGTATCATCATGAGCGTAGTGCTGCTCATACAGACATCTCTCTTGCTCTAAGGTCTCACTAATGAGACGGGCTACTTCACTCTCAGCCCCTGGCTTCTCTCTCCCAATCAGAAACCTACAGGAGAAAAACAAATTCTCTTCCAGCAAAAAATCATTAGATATGCTTAAGAAATGAGTTTGGCATACTGTTGCCTTCCACAGAACCCTTGTAAATTCTTCATATTATGGTTTTGTATTCTCCATTAATAAAAAATGACAAAACCGAAGTGTTATTTCATAAAAAACGTACGTACCTCACTGTGCCTTTGGTGTTCTTTAATACAGTGGCTGCAAAGAACTGAGTAACTCCCACCAGACTTATGCCATCAACCTCAACAATCTGATCATTTACTTGAATTCTGCAAAATAAATAAATGCTTAGCTATCAGTTAAATAATAATAATATTTTGGTTTGAAGTATTTTTGACAAATATCACCTAAAACTCACTAGTATTTATAATGACAAATTCTGAGCCCATTGAAATTCGTCACTTAAAAAGAGTCTCCTGATCCTCAGTTACTATGCAAATCACAAATTAAAATTTACACAGTATTAGACTTGATATCTTTTATACTATTTACACAGTGATTGGTGTCCTGGGGTATTAACATGATTTTGTGGTACTTCTACACAAGGGTTCATGCCAACCTTTTCTTATACATGCTGTAAGCAGATCTACACTTACTTATCAAAAATGTCCTATAAAAAATAATTCCCCATTTTTCAAAAAATTAAGATAAAGCAGGAATGTAATAATCACTCAGTTGCATTCAGCTTTTGTACTTTTATTCACAGTATTCAGCATATCTAATAAAAGCAATTGGGATCAGTTACAAATTTGTAAAAAGCATAATCAATTCAATAAAAAAAACTCACCGTCCATCCCTCTGAGCAGCTCCACCATCTGTTATTGTTTTTACAAAAATACCTAGTTTTTCCAGTCCCTGATCAGCACCAACTCCCATTCCAATGATACTGATGCCCAGACCCCTGTCACCTAAGGGATTCAAAAATCTCACATTAGTTGCATGACACATAATGTAACAGTTAGCAGTACTGAGTTGTTTCAAAGCATTTCAAGTCCTTCCACACAAAAAACCCCCCAAAAGATAACATATTTTATATTTAGATAGTATTAAAAGCGTTTTTGTTCCTAACTTCAATTCAGTATGACAATTTGCACTTAGCAGAGGCCTGTCCAGTTAACATTCACCAAATTCAACAGAACTAGCCACACAATGAAAGCCTAGACAAACATTCAAAAATTCAAGAGCTAAGTTCTGGGAATATAGTTTTAAATGGTTTTATCTTTTGTTCACATAGTATCTATTGCAAATGTTCAAGGTTTGATTTGCACCTTTTTCAATTTCCACAGGAAACACTTCCATCTTTTCCACCCTTTTCTCAAGTTCATACTCAGCTGAGGCTGCCACAGGGTCAACTTCTTCATTACGTCTATCGTAGTCTTCATTTGAGTAAGTACTGAAAACCTAAGAAAGGTAACAGAAAACTTTTTTAATGTTTTCTCACCTCCTTTCAAACATCATATAATTGAAAGACAATCACAATCAGTAAGGAAATTAAAGTGGTACTTTCAGAGATCTCATTTTCTAAACAACTATCAGTTTAGTGAATACTGCTGCTGTCAGATAGTTTTCAACTTGCAAGGAAGTAACATTTTAAAAGTTTCAAAACAATTTCATGAACACATTTTGTGTTGTAAATGTACAAAACAGTTAAAAGAAATCAGTTATCTCCTCTTTGATACAGTGTGACTTTTTTTTTAGGACTACATTCCACCAAATCCTTCCTCTCTTCTTCCCTCCCCCCACACCATCTGCCAATTGCAGTGTTTCAAACAGATGTAGTTTTCTGATTTTGCAAGGGAATCACGCAGTTTCCCAGGAAAAGGAAATGCCTTGCTACATACATTACTATTTTTAGTAATCACTCCAACTGAATTTCTGGATTGTTAAAAATAAAGAGATAAACAAACAACACAAATTAAGGCAGAAATCTACAAAGGAAGAATGAGGTACACGTAACAGGGTTAATTTTAAACATCAGCATGTTCATTGACTGTATTTAAATTAACAACTTAGGGGAAAAAAGGAAAAATAATATACCACCCCGCTTATCTTTAAAAACAAGGTTTCTCTGCTAAATGTTTTGCAGGCACTGAGTGTTTTATTCAACATCACTGTAAGACAAAAAACAGTTAAGGATTGCAGCTGCAGCAGCCATCTCCCTAATCAAGAACATGCAGTGCTGACACAAAGTTCATTTACACTGGCCTACTAAATTTCTGCAATTTTTGTATTTTGCCACTAAGACTACGTAGACAGGTAACTGCAATCATGTAAGTAAGACAACATTAACCGTAACTAACATTTTCCCTGTGAATTTACATTCGCTGGTATATGTGTTAGCTCTGCATGGCAGTAGTCTCAGACACAGAAAAGCAGTTATTGAAACAGGTTATGAAAAAGCAACTAATAGTTACAGTATTTCCCATGGGGAGTTACTGCTTTCCCTTCAGACTCCAGCTGGAGACCAGTTTCACACACTCTTCCCAAACCCTGCAAAACATCTACTCCAGAAACGTGGCATGGCCATACAGTCAGTCCAGTAAGTAAGCAAGATTAGATCCACTTGGCTGAAAGGGAAGGAAGAAACCCACTTTCAGAAGTCTTATGTTTCCCCCAATAAAGGAACTTTAACACAAAAGTTGTTCTTCCTAAATCTTGCATAAAGGTTAATAAACACCTTTTGACTATTTACAGACATCAGTAGGAAACAACTAGACACAACTGGACAACAAGGGTCACACTTACAGTATGTCTTCCATGAACTTTACAGAATAAATCTGCAAAACAGACAAAGAAAACCATCTAAATGGTCTAAAGTACCCTTACTCTATTATTATCAGAAAAAGGTGGCCAAGTTCCCAAGTTCTTTAATCACCCTTCTTAGTCCCCAAATCAGTAAATAGGACATTTCATAAAGCATTATTCTCCCTTTGGAACAAAACCAGTCTAGTTTGCTTCCTTTCCATCCCAATAGAAAAAGCAATCTCTCTAAAAATATACTCAAGTTATAATAAGATGAATTTTAAACTGATAATAAAAAGGAAGTTCATGAGGGAACAAGTAATTTCTTAGTGAGAATATTTGAGTTCTTGAGAACAAATCAAATACCAGCGCACGAAAAATATCAAGTTTGCTTATAAATTAGTATACATATAATCTAGTCTTAATAGTATGAGTAAAATGTCAAAGGTCACTAACTGCCAAATGGCTGAATGAGCAAAATGTGGACAATGGCAGGAGTTCATTTGGGAGACAGTGACAACTATATTTTCCTTATTTTTTATAACTCTGTGGTCTAACTCACAAAGCAGAAGATAATGCAAGTAGCCACTATCTACTGAAGAATTACATTACCACAGGGATGGCCAATTCCTTGCACAACAATTTATAAAGCACTAGAAATTTGGGGGGAGCAAAGTTGCACCATAGCAATAGCATTCCATATGCTGCAAGTCTTAGGCTACCAGCACTAAAACATTTCTAGAACTTCTAAAAATTACTTATTATTTTTCCACCTTAAAAGTAATAGAACCATACTTGGGAGTCTCATGGAATTTGCTAATTTTGATACAAAATTGATCATAGGAATTGATCATCTACTGGGAGTGGATAATAGAATTTAAAACTAGTGGTCCCTTAGGTTCCAGTGATGTTTATAATTGTTATTAATAAAACAATAGCAAAAACATATCTATGCAAATGAAGACTACTAATATTTATGCATACTTTTTGCAGCTTTTTAAGTAAAGCCTAGCTGAAATCAATTCTGAATAATTCACTAAGAGAATTCACTTTTAAGTAACAGATGAGTGTGTGAGAACATCTAGATAATATTCTAAAAACCACAACCTCACAACTAAAAAAAGGCAGCCCCATTTCAAAATGGTAAGAACAATATACCCCCTCCTAACTTCAGACTTTTAAGAAAAACATCAGTTTACAAGGAACAGAGGAAAACCAAAACTTATAACCAGAAGCCAAACACTGCAATAACAGAAAGAAAAGCAAAAGAACACTACAAAAACTATGACCAAAGAGTCAAGGGAAAAAGACAGAAATTTTTATTGTGTACATGTGGAATCATAACATGATATTCATCTTTTATGAGACAGAAATGGTAAAAATGTTGTTACTAATATAGAAAATGCAAAACAGCTCAGCAAGTTGTCCTCACCAAGTAGCAAAAGTAACATTTATACACAGTTAAAATGTGGATAATAAGTAATATAAGTTCACAGTTTAGAAGACTGATGAGAAAGCTAAACATGTTCATCCCTGCACTGTGTCTGGCAGGGTTTAGTCACTGAATCAAATGCATTACAGACAAAAGAAATTCTAATCTTACTATTCAGAAGCCACTGCTAGCCAGAGATCATAAAATTATTAGTGTGCAAGTTGTATTTTTGAAAGATATTATTTAGCAAACACAAGTGATTGTCACAACATAGGAGAAAAGAGATTAATTTTACTGTGGAAACCATGTGAATTTTACAAGCCTTTCATCAGAGCTTGTTATATATCCAGGTTGCCCTAACATTAATAACTTTTGAATTCTGTCAGACTATCTGAAAAAATAATTTCTTTTTACACTCAAGACCTTTTTCCTTCAGAATGAATAAAATTAATTTGAATCAAAAATAGTTCTGTTAGAGGGCTTAATTTTTAAGAATTACTTTAATTAAATTGTTAAGACATATAACTGTAAATTTTCAAATATACTTAGTGCTTGAACATACATATTTATTTGGAGACAGAATAAGTTGCATTCTTTACACCAGGAAAATGAAGAAATTTTTGAACATGAACAACTCAGTTTTGCACCTTCTATGAAGATGTTAATATCAACATCATCAAGGTCAGCACTCAAAGAACACCAATGCAGCCTACTGTTTAAGAGGTCCTACTGTTGAGTTCCTGTAACTACAGAGAACTAAAAAATCTCCATTTTATCATCTTAGTGCTACCACAGAAAACAGCATTATCACAGAAAAATGACAACCTCACTTACTTCAAACTCTTCACAGACCACAAAAAGGTCGACTTAAGTATTATGTTAGTTTTAGAAGAATATTATTTTTGTTAAAGGGCAAACACTCTTACCATGTGCTTGCATGAAAGTGCTACCAAGTGATAAACCACTGTCCGAAGACCTCCACTGCCACATTCATTTCTAGTATATAGATTTGTTTGTGCCCGATGAAAAGCAGAACATTACAAAAGTAATTAAGCAGTAAGATTAAGAAATCAGTAACTGCCCAGAACGGCTTTCAACTATTTGGAACAGAAGCAATATCAGCATCATTTTAAAATTCTCATGTAATACTGCAGTATTTGCTGGAAAGCCTCACAGCACCTGCACAGGCAGGAACACCTGACAGCTGAGAGAGACTCTGGAGTGTTACTGACACCCTTGGCTGGACTCCACAGCCAGCCACGGCTACAGCCCTTGGTTCACCTCACCTCTGAAACATGGGGCTCACTCTGAACGGGCAAGGTTACTGACACTCAGTAAAGCCAAACATTCGGAACACAAGTTACAGCTCAGGGGAAATTATTTAATAGTGAACAGTGTCAGCTTTCCAAATTGATGGCATTTGTGATGCCTGGCAAAATGCAAAGTGCCCAGGCAAACATGAATAATCATTTGAAAGAGTAGCACTGAAGTAGACCTGAAGCATAATGTACACTCTGTAGTTTACTCTTACAATCTCCCTCTTCAGTTCAAGTAGTCATCTCGTTACCACTACCCATTCTCCCCTCTATTTCCAAAAGCTACATGGTTAGTATCTTATTACCGCTACTTTTTATATTTTAAGTGAAAAGTGTCTATATCTAATTTAAGTCAATTGATGCTATAAAAGCATTACAGAATCAGCACAGAGAAATATCTTGCACACCTTTACTCTTCTTCAAAAAGTTTTCAGAATAGTTAGCAACTGTTGAACAGGTTGATATACAGGCAGGCTGCACACATTTATGTCTTTGATCTTGCAGCTCTGTATGACTTAAAAGCCCCAACCAAGTCAATTTACATAAAGACATAAGTGAAACCTTGCTTCGGATCTACAGTACAGACAATTTCATATAGACAATTTAATCATAAATAAACCAGGTTTTTAGCCAGGCTCATTATTCTCTACCTAATTCTCAATAAACCCAGTAAAATTTATTCTCTAGTTCCGTATTTCATTGCAGGAGCAAAATCACTGGAGCCAGCTAGAGAACAAGACAGACAATACAGCATCTATTTCAGTCGGGTTATGCTACCTACTCGAGAAGGAGTAATTCTCTCACTTTCAGGTATTTAATTTTTAAATCCCAGTGGAAGAAGTATTGAAACCAGAGAACAGCATCCATTCAGATGCAGAGCACTGATTTTCTTTCATTTCAGACATTCAAAGAAGAAGTTGAGAGAAGATCCATGATCTCCATCTGTGATCTGGTTGTACTCCTCCACCATCTCCTCCACCAGTTGAGGTGGCATTGCTCTCTGGCTGACAAAGAGGCTGAAAGACTTCAAAATAAATAGGAGATGATCAAAATACTACTCACAAACAAAAAACTACTCACAGTACCACATAAAAGGGGGCACTCCCAAAAAATCTTGGCTCCTTGACTTTGCTTAGCTGTTGAGCTAGTGAACTTGTCTCCCATAAATTTGCTTATCTTTGCTGACCTTCAACACCTCCTCAGTGTTTCCTCTGACTGTATTACCCATGAAACCCTCAAGTGCCTCCTATTCACCTCCTTTCCTCCCTCCTCTTCCCCACAGCTCTTCAGAGCAAAACACAGCACAGGCTGGGCACACAGTGATCAGCTAACATTAAGTCAAAAAGAACAAGCAATTTAAACTGAAGCTGCATGCCATCAGCTAGTGTGTGAATCCACAACTCTGCTCTACAGTCCCATGTCCTGGTACTTTCTGGACTCTCATCCAAAGACTCTTGAAATGCCAAATCAATCTACTATTGTAAAACTTACATATCAAATATTTCCTAAAAACCTAAACAGAGGATGTATGATATTAAAAAAAAAAAAAAAAAGGCAACAGTTTGAGTTGAAAGGGCTTCTTTCTGGAGAGCTGAACAACCGTCATGGAATCAAAACAGCATAAGGACCATAAAGGCATCAGAAATATTGGACTTTTTAACCCAGGTAAACCTATACACAGAACTAAATGCATTTAGGCCTAATAAACTTTTAACTTACATGAAAACTGAAATTTCAGTAAGAGTTTAAAGATTATCTTTCCTCAACCCCCCCCCCCCCCCCCCACCAAAATCTCACACGTGCGAAAATATGTACCTTCTTCCTCCAGGTAATATCCATGTTTTTAACATCCCATACTGTTAACCAGCAGGAATGCCACACTCTCAGATGCAGGCAGAACAAAACAGGGTTACTTTTGGCAAAATGTCACTGAAAAGTACCATGAATAGTTCGTGATAACATGAAGCAAAGTTGTTATGATGTTAAGTTACTAATGTTGTAATGTTGATAAACAGAGCTTCAAAATAAATCAAATCTATCAGTTACAACAAGAAAATTGTCATTGTAAAAGCTCCCAAACAAAGCACAACGGAAATGCACTCACGTTATTTGTGTCAAGAAAAAAGAGCAGACAACTTCCCACATATTAGTCAATTCTGTTTAAATCTACTTTCAGATCAAATCTCTACTTTCCTATATCAACCTACATCCACATCACATACTTGTTTCTTAATGCCACTGAAGTATTTTACTGAAGTGCTTGAGCAATGGCTGACAAACAATTGACCAGTCATCAATTTCCTAATTACTGAAGAAACTCCAGGGTTTGGGTATCTTCTACTACTTAGTGTATTTTCTGTCCCTTTCAGTACATGACATCATAAGTACAGAAGTTAACAGCTCAAAAATCAGAGGCTGTACGAAGCTGAAGCACTACTCTACAACATTGTTATTCAATGAGTATTCAAGAATCTACACATTGACCTAGAAAATTTGTGCATCTCCTAAAAGTGGTAAGCATTTACAGATATGCTGTCATACAGGAAATCTAATTCAAGGTTATCTTCATTTAGTGCTTCATTAACTTCCACAGTAAGCAGTTTTGTAATAAAAAGACTGAAGAGTAGGCCAGCCTGAACAATGTTATCATTTGTGCCCAGCTACACGTAAAACAGATCTATTCTGATGTGCAAGACAAATGGCAATATTATAAAGCATTTCCATATTCTCTCAGAAGTAGCTGAGACTTGACTGGTCAGGACAACACACAAACTATGAAACTGCTTTCAGTTTCCTTAAGAAATAAATTTAAGCTCCTGCTCAACTGTGACAAAACAAAAGTAACACCTTTATGAAGGTTTGGGTTTTGTTTAGTTTGGGTTTTTTTAAACTGTGTTCTTGACTAAATCTTAAAATATATTATTATTCACAAAAAGGTGGGAACAGCCACTCCCACGAAACATGAACTAGATAACACTGATAATTAAACAGACTTACGGAAGCAAACAGTATCTTTTCAGTTTACCTGAGCTACAGACTTTCTAAGGATCATAAATCACTGCAGAAGTTAGTCACTGTACTATTAAAGGTTTTGAGGACAAAGTTTGACACAGTCAGAGGTAAGAACAACTCAAGAAGCCAATTTGAAAACAGGCATTTGTTTTCACAACTAAATATTTCAAAATTACGAATCTCAAAGAGCACTCAGTCATTACATTTATGTTAATTAGAGCCTTTCAAGGTAATGTCTACATTACAAAGGCAAAATGAAATATAAAGGGATGACAGCAGAGTTACCTGATGTTCTTTGCACTGTGCAATGCCGATTGTTTACACAGTTTATTCAGCAAACTTCAAGAGAAAGACAAATTCAGTTCCCTTGCAAATACCTTGGGCAGCTGAGTGTGCTTTACATTCCTTATTGGCTTCATATGTGGCAACAAGAGACTAAAAATTGCTCAGGTACCATAATACAAACCCACTCTGCAAAGTTCTGCTAATAACTGCACAGCATCACTCTTTCAAGTACTGTAGATAAAACAAGCAACTGGGACATAATGTGCCTTAAGGTCTGCAAAGATCAAACAGCAGCAGGGCTAAAGAGAGTTGGGTTACCCACAGCACATAAGAAATCTTCCCACACGTCATTTATCACCAGTTTCTATGGAATTGAAACATTTCTTTTAAAAAGTCTCATCTGTGCTTGCTTTCACAGGCACAGGGCAACACAAAATAATGGGAGTATTTGTGTAATTATGTTCCATCTTTCCTGAAATTATCAGATCAAATTATGTTCTTAAGCCCTGCTACAGATGTCAACAATCATGGATCTCTGTCATGGGTCAGATGCAGTGCTAACAGAGTTAGCTCCCTTACACATCCCCTGGGAGCTGCAGTCTCCTCCTTTTACTCAAAGGCCTTGCCAATTTTACAACTGACTACCAATTTTGAAGCAGAAATATTAATCAAGTTCTCTTCGTTCCTGCAGCATAAATATTGTTTCTAAGGTGCCTGTGCTTAAGTTATATGCATTACCTACACACATATCCAACTTCTCTTTTGTGTATGTCAAGTACAATGGTCAGAGCTCCACCCCTGCAGAACCTCGAAGATCTGAGAATGTGCTTTTTTATGCCCCATACCTTCTGAATGTTTTGAATTCTTCAACTCTATCACACACCCACTAAACAGCAACTGCAAGAGACATGGATGTTTTTTTGTAAACACTAGAGAGGTGCAGAAGGAAAACAGCAAGAATGCAAGGCCAGGCTGGCCTCTCTCAGTAGCATCTGTGAGGAGGAACACAGACCTTCTCCTCTAGTGCCTATGAAGGTCTGAAAAAGGCACTCACATTTTAGTCAAATTTATTAGTATAAATAAAGCTGAAAAAGGAAGTTACTAGGATGCATTTCTCACTATGGCAATGCTCTAAGCTGTGGTGGGGACCAGGAATAATCTAGCTACCACTCAGATTTTTTTCTCTTCCAATTTAAGATGCACTAAAATCTACACAGAAAGTCAGACAGAGAAATTTCCTTCTGTGAGGTAAAACTGGGATTTTCTAAAAGGCTAATGAGATATTAAAGGTACACAACTAAAAAAAATTTTGGGTAAGCAAAAAAAAAAAAAAGTTGGAATTCTTTATTTTACAGAGTATAAACCTCAAAAACCATATACCAGGACTTATTCCCACTAAGTATCATAGAAAACATGAAGCAAAAAGGCAGACATAGGAAAAGAAATCATTGCTTAGGCATGAGGAACAAAGGGGGAAAACCTATTGAAAATGACATATAGAAAGACATCCCTATACCCAAAATAGGGAAGATACAGTCAAGTATCATTGAAAGGGGATAACGAAAGGCAAGGATCACAAGCTTCTGTTTAAGGGCCCTAAAAAGTATCTTCAGTTATCATATTGCTATTAAGGACACTATATTCTGCAAATCCAAGTGGGGCATTATGGCAAGAACTATGTTATTTTTCCTAGAAAACTGCTAACAGTTGCTACTAAACGTTCATCTCTTGGTTGTGTAAATGATAATCTGGTGCCGAAGGTTGGTTCCTTCGCCTTTCAGAGAAGCAGCTATATTTGAACAGTGCTTGTTACAAAAAACTGAGTTTTGTCTACATGAGAGGTTCCATCACGGTTGGCACTGAGATTTCTACTAATGCTTTCAACTATGTCTGGCATAGACATCGCAGAGAAAGCGGCAGTCTGTTAACAGCCCCTGTTTCAGTAGGATTTCAGCAACGATCAGTAAAACCCTGCCTACAGCAGGAAGTCACTCAACACACATTTACAGTAGACTCTATAGGCACTTTCCTCAGACATTCAGTGCACGAATGCAAGGGGAAATGGACTGATGCCCCTCCGGCTCTCTCCCAGCCCTCATCAGACTCATTATGCAGTTTTCAATACCAGCACTCTCCCCTTCACTGCTCCAGGTCACCACTAAAGCAGCATCATCTACAAGAAAGCCACATAAAGTCAGCCTGTCCATGGAGACTACCAAAAACCCCCACGTGCAACAAAACTCACATTTTGCCACATCCAGTACCTTTTCTGGGGTACACCACTGGTGTGTGTTTAGCAAACCTGGAAATTACAGCTCTCCGCTGTGGGAAATTCAAGAGTCAATAGAATTTTACATCCCTTTGATCAGTAAAAGCAAGTCTTGACTGTATGAACAAGGTGTAAAAGCTGTTTATTAAAGATGATATTTTTCATACATGTAACAGTAGAAGTGAAGTATGCTTAAGAAAGCCTGGACTGTTTCCTATTCCATCCTGGTCTGCATCTCCCAATTCTTCTCCCAAAGTTTAAGAGGGACTAGAATAATTCAAATCTGCAAGAGACTACTGGTAAACACAGTTCAAGTTGTAGAACAACTTATTTTGTGGGTATTTTGGTGAGGGAAGATCAAACATACAAATCTTTTTCATTTGTTAGAGTTGTAACTTACACTACACCTCATTACCCAGTCTGCCTTGTAACTTCCACTTCTGCAACTTCATGATTCCAAAATACTCATGTTAACACTCCTACAGCTTATTCACCAATCCAGTATCAAAACCAAATAACACATATATGGTTAATATGAGAGAATTCTAGAATCTTAAATAACA